CCCCTCACCCTCAGTCCCACAGCCATCCCACACTCTACCCCTGAGCCCCACAGCCGGCCCTGGCCCTGCCCCTCCCCCTGAGCCCCTCACCCTCAGCCCCACAGCAGGCCCTGGCCCTGCCCCTCACCCTGTGCCCCACAGCCACCCCGTCCTTGCCACCACCCTGTGCCCCACAGCCACCCCCAGCCGTGTCCCCCCTTTCCTGCTCCTCACCCTGTTCCCCACAGTCACCCCTGTCCTTGCCACCCACCCTGTGCCCCACAGCTGTCCCACCTTTCCTGCCCCTCACCCTCAGTCCCACAGCCAGTCCCATCCCAGCCCCTTGCCTTGTGCCTCACACCCCTCCCATCCTCCAGCTCCTGCTCAGGCCATGGCCACCATGGCCATCACATCAGTTGCAATAACTTGCACCTGGACTTTGGGGGAAGGCTGGCAACACGACCAAAACACTGTCTGGAGTGGGGACCTGGGTAGTTTGTTCCCATGAGAATATGACTATAGGTCAATTATCTCACTCCATAAATAGTGGACAGCCCCAGAGCCCTTGGAGCTCTCCTGTACGGCAGCGGCTGCACACCAGGATCTCCCCTTTTGTGAGGACTCTCCCTTAAGGTTCTACTCCTCGAGGTTGAGAGATTCCTTGCTGCAACAGATTCTCAGTGAGTGACTAATGGCATGCTATACTTTGAGATCTTAGCTAATTAATACAAAGAGTTGATTGTGCCTATAATCCCTTAGACATAAACCATTGACCAAGCCTGGCACTAGGATTGGATCCAGCCACACCTAGACTCCTCTACGAGAAGTTTAGAAAGCCAGGGGGTCCTTTCTGAACCTCATGACTCCAGGGGAGGGTCTCCCTGACAGCGTGTCTGACCCTGTCCTCTCTGCAGTAAATCACAGAGCGTGCCTTGACATCGAATCTCATCAAACACTATCGCATTTACTACTGCTTTTATCGCACTTACTACTGATTTTGTTAAATCACTGTTTCACCTTAATAAATATTTCGCTACTTTACTCTTAACTAGTGAAGTTAATCACTCCCTCCACGGAACCATGTCCCCCAGGGCCTGCCCCCTACCCCCCACCTCCAACCTCGTGCACCCCAGATCCTCCCAGGAGCAGTGGGAAAGCTTTGACACCACCCCCCCCATCGCTCCCTACTGCCTCCACACTCTGGAGCCCCCCCAAACAGCTCCCCCAAATCCTCAATGCTGGGACAGCCCTGGGGCGTGAGGCCAGAACTGCTGTCTCATATTTGTCACCTCAAGGTGAAGAAACCTCCGATTGTGGGACTGGGATGGTTCCTGGGGTCCTGCATGGCAAGGAGGTGGGGGGCAACACCCACAAGAAGGCTTTCTGGGGAACCTGCCACCCAGGGCTGGGGGGGACCCCCTGCCCCAAGGAAACACCGCAGAGTTGTGGGGTTTTTCATGTTTTAATGAAGGTTGAGGAGCAAGTGTGGATAGAGCAGTTGGAGACCCACCAGCTCAGGCACCCGCTGGCCCCACACGCACATGCTGACGTGAGAGCAGCTGGGGACACGAACTGGAGCCCAGGGGGGCTGCCAGCTTGGCAGCACTGTACACCCCCCCTGCCGTCCTCTCAACACCAAGGCTTTCTGAAGGCTGCCATCACGGACCTTGGCAATGATTACGACACGATGATGAACCTACGTACGGCACAGCAGTGCTCTCCTGGAGAAGGAGCTGCACGTGGAGAACAAGAAATGCTGGGAGCAGGGACATGCAAGCAAGTCCTGAAGGGCGCTGGTCACAGCAGGGCTGGAAAGCCTGGACGAAGCAGCTTTTGAGCACTTTCTTAAGACTTCTCCAGCGTTTTCCAAGGGCTGTGGCCGGCCACCAGATTTTGGCAGGAGCACGATAGCTGTTGCATGGTAATCACAACTAACCTGGTATGAGACAAGCCACATGGAGTTACCTGAAACCCAGAGTCCAGCGGGACCAGACCCTGCTGGAAAACACAGCCAGAGCACCTGGGCCTTGAAACCCTTCATGGCCAACACGAAGGGATACAACTAAGACTAGAGACATTCTGCAATATGGTAGGGATCTTCTGGAAACCCAGCACCATCCTTTGTGAAAGCTCAGGAATGAGAGCGAGACCTTTTCTATTGACCTTTCAGCTGAAATAAGCTAGAAAACATTTATTGTTGTATGTTCCTAAAAAAAAACAACAAAACAAAACAAACAAAAGTCTCACAACGAGGGCTTGGGAGGTGCACCTACGGCTGCAATGCTCAGGCCTCTACTCCACCTCGTAGCTAATATTTTGGGCAAGACCTTAGGCACTGTGCTCTCCATCCTTTATCCTTGACCTCCTGTGCTTTACCTCGGGGAGCACTTTTGAGAGCAGGCAGTAAACACGCACGGTACCTGCCATTTTCCTCCAGAGGCTGTTGCTCATTTCTGAAAAAAATTCAGCAAACAAGCCCATGATTCAAAGCATCCCTCAATCACTCTCTCCCCCCGAGCTCAGCTGAAAAGGCAGGGTATAAATAGCTGTGTCACCTCTGGTCACGGCTCCACCATCAAGCTGAAGCCCCACTTTCAGCAAAAAAAAACCCCCAACAATCCGGGGTGAAAAAGGGGGAAGAAAATGCCTTGGAGTTTAGCAGGAATCTCGCCTTACTGCGCAGTAAAGGGAGCGATTCGTTTTTTTTTTTTCATAATTTCCCTTTTGAGGGGAAAAGAGGGATGGGTCTAGCACCCCAGAACCTGAACATTTCTCACTTCATTAGGACAGGGAAAAAATTTTCTCTTCTGGCTTCATGCTCTGCTCTCGTCCGCCCTAGAGCTTGCGAGAGCCCAACGTCTCCTCTGTCACATCCTGGGCCAGGGCGACTGCTATTCGATGTTCCCTTTGCTGGGCAAAAAGGTGTATTTTTAAGCTTGCACGAGCCAACACCTGAAAATGGAGATGTGGTGAACTTATTGAGTAACAACCGTTACAGCCTACGTTTTCCCTGCCCTGCAGTGAAATTCTGACACCTTGGTGCTGTCATATGGTTAAAAAAAACCCCAACCGGTCCTTCCCCCAAGTCCCTCTCCCAGTTTATCACCCAGCACTTCCCAATCCCAAGCACTGATGCATTCACGGCCCTCTTCTGAACGCCCACGAGGTCCACCACCAGAGACCAGACCTGGCACTTGGGGGGTGCGTGTGTCACGTGGGGGTGATGTCTCGCTGGAAGCAAAGCCACCCACCAGCCCTGGCGGCGCAGGGGAACAAAGCCACAGCCTGGTCTTGCACAGCTCCTGCTCCTTGTCACTTCTTGGCGTCCACCAGTGCACCCTGTGTCCACCTCACCCCCTGCAGATGGAGATCCACGCCACGCTTCAGGGTGTTGACAACTTCAGGGGTGCCTGTGCGGCTCCTTGGGACGTGTCCTCTCCTGCGGTGCTTCCACTGTGTTTTGCCCAGTGCTCTGTTCCCTCCTGCTGAGTTTTCCTAAATTTCCCTCCTGGACGTGAGCATCTGTGTCAAACGGTGGCACTGGCAGATTCACAGCGTGTTGTGACAAACGTCCATCCCGTGACAGCACGATCAAAACGCACCACTCCGAGGAGGCCTGGGCGCTTCAGAAAGGTGCCAGGATCACCTGCTGGCATAAAGACCTCCAAAATCTCCATCAGGACCAGAGAGGAGTATGCCAAAGCACTAGGATCTTCTGAGGGAGGCAGAAATCCCACTCCTTGCTTCGCTTCCCATTGACACCCAGGCAGCCAGACATAATCTCCTCTTGTTTGTTTGTTTTGGGTAACAGCAACTGGTTTGTTTTGGTCCCAACCATCTCTCCCTCCCAGAGGCAGCTGAACACAGCCCTGAACACCCCCCAACAAACCCCACACTGCTGTTACAAGTGCCACCGTGCTCTGCAAAGAGCTCTGGCTTAGGAGGGATGTGCTGGGTTCACGCTGAAAATTCAGATACACTTCACAAGGGTGGACAATATACCAGGGATTTAGGTTCTACTCAAAAGTAGATGTTAACTCTGCAATTTGGGGACCTCAAGGAATTTAACCTCTCCTCCCCAACAAAAAACACCTCCCTTTCCATCTATGTGGCAAACCCATACACAGGGATTTCTCCTGGTCTACAAAACCTTACCCACCTTCCCCCCTAAGCTGAGACCAAGCTGTGGGCTGTGTTCAGGGCAGAAAATTGCAATATTTGTCAAATGGAGGAGAAGAAAATTGGCTGGATCAAACAGGACAAAAATCATTTGGGCTGAAAGGTTTCAGATTCAAGCCTCAGATGCATGAAGGCGAGAGCTGAGGGAGGAGGCTAAATTCACTGCAGTGTCTCAGAAGAACCTGAGGAGATTGGGTTTCTGCTCTTTGAAACACTCTCAGCACAGAAGCGATGCTAGAAAATCCTACAGCCTTCCCGTGAGCCCCGACGGGGCCTCTCTACCTCTTTTAAACAAAATCCAACTGCATCAGACTGGGATGGATATTGATTCAAATCTCATTAGGAAAAAGGGATAGCTATAAATAAACAAAATTGCTTTCCTTGCTTGGGTTAAGTCACCGCCTGCAGTTCAGCACCCTTTCGCCAGCCGTTTCCCTGTGTGTTCAGCCAACCAGCTTGGAAAATGACCTAAGGAAACTGAATTCGTGGTGTTCCTGGTTTTTGGCATCCTGCGATGCGAGACAGCTTGCTCCTTCCTATGTAACAAGAACAGGAACAAAGGAAAGGAGTCACCTATTTGGAGCTGAGCTAAGGCACTAATGATGCAGTAGGTGAGGAAAGAAGAAACACAGCGGGAGGAGGACAACTTTCCAGCCACGATGTCCTGGAAGATCATCGTACTCTTCACTCAATTCCCTTAAAAAACCCAATGTTACCTCTATAGAAAAGGAGAAGCTAATACAGTATTATAGTATCCCTGTTGCGGTTTCATTTTAAGGTTATTTTGTTGTTCTCCCAGAGAGATTTGTTTCAAAAGTCACACGAGCTGTTTCTAAAGTGGATTTTGGTGAATGCAGGCAGAGTTGTCCGAGCAGCTCTGGCCCACTGCAGCTCTACGTGGATGCCTGTATTGTTGGTTTTTTTCCCCCCCGTTTTCCAGAAAATAAGAAGCCTGTCTCTATCGCTTTTTTTTTTTGTTGTTGTTTGGTTGGTTTTTGGCATGATACTGAGATAAGCCACCGAACTGTGCTGACCCAATGGGTGCAGTTCTCTCCCCCTGCGCGCGGCAGAGGCGCTCCTGTTGTCATCACAGCTTGATAAAGATGGATGGGGGCTGGCTCGTCTTCTGCCCGGTGTCGTTGAGGGGGAAAACGCTAGAGATGGCTACATCCACGATTCCTTGGCAGAGCTCTGCATACAGCTTCCTAAGAGACAGAGAGAGAGAGAGAGAGAGAGACTCAGATGCCCAGGCAGGACTAACCAGCAGCCTCCCCGACCCATTTTTACACAGATGTGCATTTTCCCAGCAGGATCTACAAGATCTACAAGATCCTGCTCCCATTATGGGTAGCTCCAAGGTGACAAACGGGAGGAGGGTGGCATCTCTTCCACCACAAATAGCCAAAAACCTACCTCAGCTGCTTCTTCCGATGCCTTCCAAGAGCCCACAGAGGCACAAAGCCAACAGGGCATGGCTGCAACCCAAATCCACCCAGTGACAGCCAACTTTACCCACAGAGCAAGCAACACAGGGAGGTGCAAAGCAGTATTGCACCACGGGGCACATGGTGAACAGGGCATCCTGGACACAGAAAGCTCCCCCAGCCCTAGCTCTGAACAGGCTGTCTGGTAGGTCTGGCCTGCATTTTTTTGCCTACTGTTAGTGACGATCTAATCAAATTTAACCTACATCTAGTCTAATCAATTTCTATTGTAGTGATGTAAAGCCTCTTCCGCTTTCCTGGGCTTGGATATGATACAGATACCCATTTAGCAAAGATTTCGAGTCTCCCGGAGTTGTCTCAGTCACGTAATAACAGCACATCTTGCTGTGCCTATGCAGAGATGTTGATGGCCGTGGCCGTTTGCCTGTCCCTGCTGTCCTGTGGCATTTGATCCAATGTCTGCAGCATCCCCGGTGTGTGCTCTGGGCTCCTGCTGCCTGCAAATTCACTCACTCACTTCCAGGTGCTGCCCTGAATGCCATTCATTTATCACGCATTCTGGTAAAGACCAGCCACCAGTGGCTCCACAAAGAGAGACTGAGAAACCACCTGACCCCCAAAGTGTTAATTCTGCAACGTGGCTCATTTTTATAGGCACTATAGGGTTGGAACTAAGTTATATTCAAATACATTTTGGCCAAAACCTGAGGTCAGTGCCCCATTTCACGTGGGAAAGAAGCTGGGGGACACCAAACACAGAGACAGGAGCAATGAACTTAAATCAGCTGGCACTTAGAGCAGTGTCTCTGCTCCAGGTTACCCTGGAAAACTCCCCTCCCATTCATTTTCTTCCACCTTTTTCACTTGGAGCTGGGACACAGCCATGTTCTGGATGAGGCATATGAACGGTGGCATCACAGAAACTGATTACTCACTGGGCACACGCCGGGGCCCCATTGACTTCTATCAGCCAGACCTTCAGCTCCTCATCCACCATGAAGTCAAACCCAAAGAGCTGGAAGCTCTGGTAGTGAAGATGCTTTGTGCTGATTGCAGGCTCTATACACATAAGGCAGCTTCTGTGAAGGGAAAGACAGAAAGCCAAGGTTAAAAGCCTTGTGGACGTACCAGTTGCACTGCAGCTTCTGAGGGCACGTGCTTGGCACAGATTAGTGGAGGGGTCCCCTGTTGCCCTGGGACTGCCCAGGTAACTGTCACGGTAACTAAGTCCTTGCAAGTGAGATTGTGCAACCATCAAAACATCGGTGGGACCACCCCTGAGGAGTTAACTTCCCAAAGAGCTGGAGAGCAGCATCCACCCTCACTACTGGATTAGGCGAGCTGAAAAACATGTTGTGCAATGAGAGCCTGGAGCAGAAGGCTGAGCCAAAAAGGTCTGCACTAGGTCCCCGAGGAGAGCTCTGAGTCCCTCAAAGATCCTGTCATGTCTTTTTGGCGTAAGTTACAGCAATGGGGTACTTGCAAATTCTACCATGAAGGATCACTTGGTCAGGATCCGGATTCTCTGCAGGACCGTGATCTCGGAGATGTCTCTCCAGACAGATGGGAGTCTGGAGATGTCTCTCCAGATTTTCTGTGCCCAGGAGGCAGCCGGCTCTGTGTGGACCGAGTAAGATGACCTCTGCCAATGAGCTGTGCTGCTGCTTGCTGCTGGAGGGGGAAGCAGTGCGACGCCGCAGTCTCGAATCCCACTTCGTTTCCCCTCTTACACCTTCTCCATCTTTTTTAACCTCCTTTTTTTAACCCCTGTCTTTCGACCTACCCTCTTCCCTTATCAAGCGATCTCACTCCATCCTTCTCCAGCCACAGCTGCCAAAAGGCAGACACGTTGACACATACCCCGAAAGAACAGCACCTATGGAGGTCCCCTGCCATTGAGCAATGACCCTTGGGTGTTTATGGCTTAATCTTACATTTATCTCTGGGCCACAACACCTGATCCATGCAATTTAAACCCTCCCCTTGTCAGTCTGTCCGCTTCCCCCACTGCGTCCGTACACGTTCCCTGAAGGGTTAATGTTTCCCTACGCCACCGGCGTCTGGCTACCTTATTATGTGTTTGATTTGCAGTAAGATGCTATTCTCCAGCGTTGTGTTCAGGGCATCCATCAGATACTGGTTGAACTCCTCAAAGAACATTTCATTCCCTTCCTCGTACCGCCCGTAGTTTTTGGAATATTCCTTCTGAATGCAGTGATTGGTCAAGTGGCAGGTTTTGTCCTGGAAATTAGCACTGTTGTACGGTTCGGAAGAGGTCCGCAGGACACCCTCTCTGTAGAGGTAGATATTATATTGATGATCCACGAGAACCCAGCTCCTGGGGGTGGGGGGGCAAGAGAACAAACTCTAGTCCCAGTGGCTTAAAACGAAACAGCATGAAAACATAAACCAGTATTACAAAAGCAGGAAAGGTTACCTGATGTCAAACTTGCGATGCCCTGGCTCTAAAAGCAGAGGCTTCTCCAGGTATTTCTGAATCACGTGCACTTGTCCCTGCTCATCGATGAAGTCCAGGAGTTCTGCAGCCTCTGAAGAAATCAGGATCCCTTCCCCTGGCACAGAAAAGACAAAGACAAAATGAGGCAAAGGATCCTCCTACCTTTGCCGGAGCCTGTTCCAGTGTTTTTTTTCCAGCTGGACTTGGTGGAAAGGGTAAGGGGGTGGTGCACATGTTCAACACTTGTTGAATTTCATTTTTCCCTGGTTTTCAGCAGTTTGGAGAACAGGGGTTTCAGGGGTTTTAGCATTTTGTTTTCTTCTTTTTTTTTTTTTTTGTGGTGTTCTTTTATCCTACACTCAGACATTTCCCCCCCTTTCTGGCTTCTCTGGCTGCCACGCACCCTTGCGCGGTGTTGCCCTGCTTACTGTGTTAATTTAAGTTCCTATTCAAATCATCGCTGAAATTAGGAAAAGAACTGTTTCAAAACTGCTCATCCACGTAGTCAGCACTTTCCTCTGCTGCGGAAGCCCTTCATTAAAGAAGTTAGATGTGCCTTTTAAATCCTGCCGCATTTATTGCAAGAGTCCAGATACGAAACCACCATCGCAGAGCCACACAGAGAGAACACATTCCCTTCTGGGATTTGATAAAGGGATGGCACAGTGCCATGTGAGGGATAAACCAGCTGAGGTAAAATTACCTAACACTTCTCTGGCACAATTTCCAGTCTTCAGGCATTGAATTCACTTTTTTGACTAAAGCTGTTGACTTAAGACTTAATTTTGTGCTAAGATTTTTTTTTTTTTTTTGGGGGAAATACTGAGCGAAAAGGAAAAAAAAAAAAAAGCAACACACTTTAAGGGGGGCACACCTCTGTGCGCCTTTGGAGCACAGGCAGTTTGATAGGATCATCCCAGGGAAAATGCTCCTAGATGTGACCTCTGAAGGTCAACACAGGCAGTAAAGGCCCTGCAGTGGGAAGATTAGCAGGCATCTGTTTTGCACTGGACAGACGGTGAATGAAGAGGGAGGTTGGCTTAATCATAGAATTGTCTAGGTTGGAAGGGACCTTCAAGATCATCTAGTCCAACCATCAACCTAACTCTGATAAAACAAACAAACAAACAAACAAAACCCCAAAACACAAACAAACAACTAACCCACACACCACAAAACCAAAAAAACCACACCACTAAACCATATTCCTGAGGACCATGTCAATCTGTCTTTTGAACACCTCCAGGGATGGTGCCTCAACCCCTTCCCTGGGCAGCCCATTCCGATGCTGGATAACCCTTTCCATGAAGAAATTTTTCCTAATATCCAGCCTGAACCTTCCCTGGTGCAACTTGAGGCCATTTCCCCTTGTTCTATCTCCTGTGACTTGGGAGATGAGATCGACCCCTGCTCCTCTACACCCCCCTTCAGGTAGTTATAGAGCACGAGAAGGTCTCCCCTCAGCCTCCTCTTCTTCAGACTGAACACCCCCAGCTCCCTCAGCCTCTCCTCATAAGACTTCTTCTCCAGACCCCTCACCAGCTTCGTTGCCCTGCACCTTGACAGCAACCCAGTGAGGCAGCAAAGCAGCTTACGTGGGGCAGCTGTCTCCCTTCTCTCAAAGGAAACATCAAAACCTCTAGCCACAGTTGAAAAATCTCTCAACTTTTAAGTCAGGACATCCTAAGCCTTTCCTTTTCTTTTTACTGATGGACAGCCAAGCTTCCACCAGATGACCTGTCCTGAGTCAGGGGCCATGCCTGAGCTAGCTCTGCCTCAGCAATGACAGTCAATAAGCCGTATAAGTACTGGAGTACTGCGTCCAGTTCTGGGCTCCCCAGTTCAAGAGGGACAGGGAACTACTAGAAAGAGTCCAGCGAAGGGCTACAAAGATGATTCAAGGATTGGAGCATCTCCCTGGTGAGGAGAGACTGAGAGAGCTGGGACTCTTCAGTCTGGAGAAGAGAAGGCTGAGGGGAGACCTTATCAACGCCTACAAGTATCTCAAGGGAGGGTTGAAGGAGGAGGGAGCCAGACTCTTTTCAGTGGTTCCCACTGAGAGGACGAGGGGCAACGGGCACAAGTTGGAACATAAGAGGTTCCACTCAAATATGAGGAGAAACTTCTTCACAGTGAGGGTGACAGAGCCCTGGAACAGGCTGCCCAGGGAGGGTGTGGAGTCCCCTTCCTTGGAGATTTTCAAGACCCGCCTGGATGCTCCTGAGTAACATGCTCTAGCTCTAGGCAATCCCGCTTCAGCAGGGGAGTTGGACTAGATGATCTCTATGGTCCCTTCCAACTCTAGAAATTCAGTGAAATTCTTCACCAGAAGTAATCCCCAGACATTTAAAACTTGCCTCTAGAAGATTAACACGAGGCTCTGCTTTCCACTTTAATTCCCAGCTTGAGTTCTGCAGCACACTGATGAGTACGGAAGGTTACTCTGCTCTAATGCGGAAAAGAAGGGAACGCACTTGAATAAAGTTTTATGTGGAGACTTTAAACCTCCCCATCCTGCAGCAAATCACAGCAACGGCCTTCTTTGTTTTCCCAGACTGATTCTTTGCCAGTTATACTACACAGAAACGCATTCCTTCACTGGCGTAACAAAAGGGCTCTTCTCCTCTTCCTCCTTGAGGAAAATAAACATATTCGGATGCTTCGTGGTAACGCAGCCAAGAGAGCAGAGCAGGGAAAGGAAGCAAGCGTGAAGGACGGTTTTATCATGCAGCCTCCCTGCAGCCACCTCTGGCTTTCACATTCTCTGATGATTTTTTTTAAGACTGCATCAAAAGCGAGTAAAAGTGAGTAAATACACATGGGCATGTTCTCTTTGAAAAGACCCTTTCCTCAGGCTGGGCTCTGCCGCCTGGGCTCTGCACACTCGGCAAGGCAAATTTTCATAAATCCATTCTGATAACGTGTCCCTGATACTGCTGCCACTGACAGCACATAGTTACCAAAGCTCTGCATCTACAGCTGTGTCAAGCTACCTCATCTAATAGCTCGGTTCGTGGACGAGGCAGCTGTGTCAAGCTACCTCATCTAATAGCTTGGTTCGTGGACGAGGAGCTCACCATGAGCCGGCAGTGTGCGCTGGCAGCCCAGAAAGCCAACCCCATCCTGGGCTGCATCAAGAGAAGTGTGACCAGCAGGGCCAGGGAGGGGATTCTGCCCCTCTGCTCTGCGCTCCTGAGACCCCACCTGGAGCTCTGTGTCCAGCTCTGGAGTCCTCAGCACAGGAAGGACATGGACCTGTTGGAACAGGTTCAGCAAAGGGCCATGAAGATGATCAGAGGGCTGGAGCACCTCTGCTGTGAAAACAGGCTGAGAGAGCTGGGGTTGTTCAGCCTGGAAAGGAGAAGGCTCCAGGGAGACCTTAGAGCAGCCTTCCAAGATCTGAAGGGAGCTCCAGGAGAGCTGGGGAGGGACTCTTTGTCAGGGAGTGCAGTGACAGGACAAGGGGCAATGGTTTTATACTGAAAGAAGGGAGATTTAGATGAGATACCAGAAAGAAATTCTTTGCTGTGAGGGTGGTGAGGCACTGGAAGAGGTTGCCCAGAGAAGCTGCGGCTGTCCCATCCCTGGAGGGGTTCAAGGCCAGGCTGGATGGGGCTTGGAGCAACCTGGTCTGGTGGGAGGTGTCCCTGCCCAGGGCAGGGGGGTTGGAACTCGATGGTCCCTTCCTTTAAGGTCCCTTCCAACTCTGACCATTCTATGGTTCTATGATTATTTCTGTAAAGCGAGCGACGCAATGAGCCTGGAACAAGGAAGGACACATTATCCCTTAGGTATCTATCGCCTTATTCAAATTAGAGGGACAGACAGACATCGCATGGCTTGTCTTTGCGCTGGTACCTTCCCTTGAGGCTTGGGTGTAATTGGGATGCACTGAGCCCGTGAGTGCTCAGCCAGTCTCTCAGTGTGACCGTGGGTAGGCCACTGGCACCAGGCATCTGGGTTTGGTGGAAAGCCCAAGCAGTGGTATTTCTGCCCAGCTGAAACCAGGCTTAGCTGCAGCACGGAGAGCTGGGCTCCTTGCACTTGAAAGATGCTGTCCTGCCTGCTGCCCTCCTCCTCATATCCTGTTCTGCTCCCCGTTATCTCCTGCTCTCCACACCCCCCTCACCTGCTGCCTTCTCCTTGCAGCAAACTCTCCTGTCTTTGGAGGTGCACGTGTAGGAAAGTGGAGGTCCTTTCACTGCCATCCACATCCTAGGTAGCACGTGCACGTTACAATGCTTGTCAGGAGCATCATGCCACCAAGCAGACAAATCACAGAATCCCATGGGGTTGGAAGGGACCTCTGGAGATCATCTAGTCCAACCCCCTTGCCAAAGCAGGTCCACCTAGAGCAGGTTGCACAGGATGGAGTTGGTGGGTGAAGCCCTTCAGACAGGCTAGATACCAGCTGGGCTCAGCCAAACCCCAGGGGACTCTACCAATCAAGTAAAGTGTAAGGAATAACGAGAAGGTGGCTCATTTTGATGGAGAACAAACCTTTGGCACCAGCAGAGGACTTGGCGATCCACACGTTGCCTTCTTTGCCTTCCCGCCGCCTGTTGTAAGCTGCCAAGAAGACTTCCCGCTCGTCTGTCCTCGTGTTGTTTATGAGATGGCGAATTCCGTTCTGTGCTGGAGCCACGGGGGTCTTCAGGTTTGTTGGGTAAATCACATACGACTCCGGGAACCACGTGCAGGACTCCGATAGTTCAGGGCTTGTCTTGATTAGCCTGGGTGAAGAGAGACAGGCTGTTAATCTCCAGAGCGTCCCCACCTGCAGGGACATCATAGAATCCCATGGAGTTGGAAGGGATCTCTGCAGATCATCTGGTCCAACCCACCTGCCAAAGCAGGGCCACCCAGAGCAGGTTGCACAGGAACGTGGCCAGGTGGGGTTTGAATGTCTCCAGAGAAGGAGACTCCACCACCTCCGTGGGCAGCCTCTGCCAGGGCTCTGCCACCCTCACAGGAAAGAAGTTCCTCCTCATCTTTAGGTGGAACTTCTTCTATTCAAGTTGGTGCCCATTTCCTCTTGTCCTGTCCCTGGGCACCACTGAAAAAAGACCCGCCCCATCCTCTTGACACCCTCCCTTGAAGTATTTAAGTATTTATAAACATTGATTAGATCCCCCCAAAGTCTTCTCTTCTCAAGACTAAAAAGCCCCAAGTCCCTCAGCCACTCCTCATAGGAGAGATGCTCCAGGCCCCTCATCATCTTTGTGGCCCTTTGCTGTACCCTCCCCAGCAGTTAAGTAAACTTCTGTATAATCTGTATAAGTAAGTAAAAAATCATCATTAACTGGGCTCTTTCGCTCGGTGATGAACAGCAGCTGACAGACAGGCTGTGCTAAATTACTGTCTCTTCCTTAGACCTTTGAAATTAGGGTTATCTTGAAGATATCGTGGCATCCCCAACTGCAGCCAACCACTGCACTCGGAACTGGACCTGCAAGCTTTCATGAAACGTTCTGTAGATGCCGTGACTACCGTGAAACACTCCGTAGAGAAGTTTCCACCTAACTAGAGCTGGCCGTGCACTCCCTCTGCCCAAGGGGACCAAGGTGGCACGTTTCCTAGCACAGAATGGGGCAGGGAGAGACACTGTGGTCACAACAGGCAGAAGGGAAGCCAGAGCAGTGATGGCCTCTGTGCTGCTGCTTAGCTCTTGATCCCATCCCCACCGAGATCTGATCAGGTTGTCCCACTCGTGGATGGCAACCACTGGGAAGCCACTGAAAGCAAAGGCACAGCTATACACCCCGAGGTGTCTGGGATCCCCCACGCATCACACAGTCTCCCATCTCTCCTACCAGTAAACATCTAGAGATGCCAGCAGAGCCCAGCCCTGTTTTCTTCCAGAGCCAAGGGAGCCGCCTACCTCCCCGAAGGCTCACTCTGTGCTTTGCTTAAGGCCAGAAGCAGAGCTCATGACCTGCTGACTCTCTCCTGTGGAAGTGGCAGGCAGTCAGTCACACCCTGGGAGCCCCGAGGAATGCCATTTGTGGTCCCTTGGGTTCATACGTAGCTTAACGCATGGTTGCCCCCACAGCTGGAAAGGTCAGCCAAGCTTCAGGAGAGAAAAAACAGGTGTTGCAAGCACATTCAGCACCGCCTTTAGAGCATGGGCTGCAGAGAAATCCAGCTGGGGAGCACCATAAGTGCTTCTTTAAGGGTTCTTTGCAGGGGAAGGAGAGGCCTTGGATCAGCAGGCAACCTGCATCAGCAGGGAGAACACCAACAGACACCGACGTGGAATCAAACGCTTGAAGGAGGCCAAGAGCTCTGACGTGAAGGTGCCCTAATGGCCGCAGAGCTTGCAGAGGGACGAGGGTTATCTACAATGAAAGCTCATCCACGTTTCCCCACGAGACCCTAGCGCACGGCTGGTCATGCAGAAATAACTCCCAGAGCTCTTCCTGGAGATGTCTCCAAGCATTTGTGTGACCAACAAATCTGATTAGCTAGAGGCATATTAGTGTCTCATCTCTGTATGAAACAGAATAAAAGGAGTAGGTTTTAATTAAATGTCTACAAGGAAAAAGAGCAGATATGTTTGTTTGGTTGTGTGTGGTTTTTTTTTCCCTTTTGATTTGGCTCTAATCCGATTCAATACACTCTTATGGTTTCAAGCAGATGTAATTCAGTGAAAATGGCATTTCCCCTGAAGTTACAAAGAGCTCTTTGTGCACAGAGCTAGCTCTAGAGACCAGCAGAGGAGTCGGGAAGACAGCACACGCCAGGACACTCCCCAGGCAGCTGTTCTTTGAAATACCCTCTCAACAGGTTCAACACTCGACAACGGTCAGAAGAAAATTAAAAAAAAATAATATTCTTCTCCGTTCAACACTCGACAACGGTCAGAAGAAAATTAAAAAAAAAAAAAAATATTCTTCTCTCATATAATATTTCAGTGAATTTCTTACTTCACCAGAGACGCTTTGCGGCACAGCTTGTCTGCTCCCCTGTAGTAATTCACCAGCTGCACAAGTCCGGGTTCATGGCCTAAAAAGGGGAAATAAAGAGATCAGACAAACTTCTCAATTAATGAAGTAAAAAAAATATCTGCTTGGCGCAAAGGACCTGTGCGGTAGGGAAGAAAAAGGAGGCTGTTTCTTTGCCTCACAGAATCAGACTTGAAGCTGGTACCGGCTCCTGCGGTTTCCTTCTTTTAGTTATGAAAAACCATGCATTCACCCGAGCCCGTTTCAAATCTGACACTTCCATTTTCCAAAGGAAAATAATAATTTCCTAATTCACACTGGGAACCGGCAGCGCCACCCAAGAACCTTCTCCATTTCCTGGTGGCACTTTTTAAAAGCCAAGATTTCGGTTACTCTTCAATGGAACAGGAGGATGGAGGGAAGCAGACCACGATTCAAAGATCACAGCTTCGGAAAGGGCCTTGCTTCTTTGCCGTGCACAGCAGGATTCCCTGTTGGACCTGACAGCACAAAACACTGGGAAATGTTAAAAGACGGGAAACGTTAAAAGATTTGGAGTTGTGCTTCCCTCTGGCAGCTTGGAGCATGCCCTTTGGATAGCTGCAGAGGGAAGGGACCTCTAGGGGGTGTCTCTGTTCCAACCTCTTGTTTGGTCCAAGTCCTAGTAGCTCTAAGGATGAAGATCCTACTGCTTCTCCAGGTCTTTGTCCCAGTCCTTGACCACCATCCTGTGTCCCCCTGATGGCCCCTGATGGAGTCACGGCAGGGTTCCTATGCCTTTCTCATACTGGAGAGTCCCAAACCAGTCCCAGTAACGAGCTGTAGCCTCACAAGTGCCAAACAGAGTACCAAACAGATGGGTACCTCCTTACCAGGATCGGACTTCACCCCACAGCCTGCCTTCCTTCACCTTCTCACACTGCACAAACACTTGCCCTCAACTGGAAGCTCTCCTGGGGCGGGGGACAGGACGGCAGGCATTGTCCGAAGGGTAAAGCAAAAATCTGGGCAACACCACGCAGCCTCTCCCACACAACCAGTGTACAAGAGGCCAGTGACACCTGGGGCACTGGTGACAACAACTGACAAAGAGCATTGACAGGAAAAATGTGACGGAAATCTATGCAGGTCTGAAATGACCTAGGACCAGGGGGATCCCCCAGGCGTGGCAGTTCCTTCCATCTTTACCTTCTCTCTTCGAAAGAATACTTGTGGAAGTGATTTAGACTCTGAAAAAAGGATTGAGAGTTTTAGTTATCCTCCTTGTTTTTTACCTAGAAAAAAAAAAAAGGCCTGGAGTAAACATTACCTTAAAGACCAGGCAGCTGCAATGTCACAGAGAGTGAATATCTATTTCAACCCCAAAGTCATAGCCCTGACCTGGGTCACTAATGCATCCACAAATCCTTAAATAGGAGACAGCTGAAAACCATCTTCCAGAAAAGATCTGCAGCTTCAGGCACTTCAATGCATAGCCAGCATTGCCAGGCACTCATTTACTGGAAGAAATTAGTATAAAACATCAAACTTCCTTTTGTTCCTGGCTTATTGATTTTGCTTGGTTCCTGGAGGAATCGATGTCCGGAAGAAGGTCCCACCACTCTGGGTGGGCTCTGCCCCACAGTGGTCAGTCCATCATGTCACCACTGACAGGTGGAACAGGGCTGGTGAAAGATGGAGGATGGAAGTAGCTGAAACCTGCTTTGAAACCACCACCATCGGATAACTCTGTCCCACCAGGGAGGGGGGGCACATCCTCATCCCCTTCCTGAGCATCTCCACAGAGCAGCGGGCTGTGATGTGAAGAGTCTGGTGGCCCGCAAGGAAGGACCGCTGGGCGGGAAGGGGAATGGCTTCTCGGGCACCCCTCTCAGGTCTGCGCCACGCTTTCAGCAAGGTTCAAGAGCTGCCAAGGCACTGAGCGAACTGGCAATCCTCCTACGGCTGGCAGGGCGGACTCCAGCGTCCTCCGGAGAGGCTCCATGAGGCCTCTGCAGCCTCCTCCTCTTTCTCCTCCCCTGAGCTCAACCTGCTTTTCCATTATTGAATTTCACTGAATTTTTAGAGTTGGAAGGGACCATAGAGATCATCTAGTCCAACTCCCCTGCTTCCAGGCGGGTCTTGAAAATCTCCAAAGAAGGGGACTCCACACCCTCCCTGGGCAGCCTCTGCCAGGGCTCTGCCACCCTCACTGTGAAGAAGTTTCTTCTCATATTTGAGTGGAACCTCTTATGTTCCAACTTGTGCCCGTTGCCCCTCGTCCTGTCACTGGGAACCACTGAAAAGAGTCTGGCTCCCTCCTCCTTCAACCCACCCTTTAGATCCTTGTCAGCATTAATAAGGTCTCCCCTCAGCCTTCTCTTCTCCAGACTAAAGAGCCCCGGGTCTCTCAGCCTTTCCTCATCAGGGAGATGCTCCAATCCTTGAATCATCTTTGTTGCCCTTCGCTGGACTCTCTCCAGCAGTTCCCTGTCCCTCTTGAACTGGGGAGCCCAGAACTGGACACAGGATTCCAGTTGTGGCCTCCCCAGTGCAGAGCAGAGGGGGAGAATGACCTCACTCAACCTCCTGGCCACACTCTTCCCTACGCAGCCCAGAATTAGGGCTTAGATACGGACACTCACAAGCTTAAGGGCACAACCCCCCCCAAGAACAAGGGTATCAGCGACAGCAACAGATGTCCCCGCAGCTGGGCAGAAGTGGCAGCGCATGGTGGGAGTCCCCACTTAGACCCCTCTCCCACGTCAAATCATCCAGTTTAGCCCCCCTGAGCAACACAAATCCCCACAGTTCTCTGAATTAACGGCTGCTTCTGCTGAGTAGAGCCTTTCGGGAAGCCAAGCCAGCTTGGATGCAACAGTTGCTCAGGAGGAGAGCTTCAGGAAGATGTACCAGAGAAGGCTGGGCTTTTTGGAAGATGTATGCAGCAAAATAACCATGTTATTTTGGGCCCAAATCTACTGATTTCAGGCAACCAGCTCCTGCTAGAGGAGGATGGGTTAAAGAAGCCACTGCCAAAGCACGGTCCCTCTCTTTGGGTCATAGGTTTGAATTTTTGGGCATGCTGAGGCCCTTCTGTCACCCCAGAGCTCTTTTTGAGGATGGAAGGGGTTAATACGAGATGGCCACAAGCCCACCTGGATGTGCCGGTGCAGGCCCACTCGCATCAAAGAATTGCAATTGCTTTGGGAGGAAAAGCCTGCTGCTCACAGGCCCTCTGCCAGCTGGCCACATCATAGAATGGTCCAGGCTGGAAGGGACCTCCAAAGGTCATCTAGTCCGACCCCCCTGCAGTCAGCAGGGACACCCCCAACTAGACCAGGTTGCCCAGGGCCTCGTTGAGCCTCACCTTGAATATCTCCAGGGATGGGGCCTCAACCACCTCCCTGGGCAACCTGTTCCAGTGCTCCACCACCCTCACAGTGAAGAACTTTCTCCTAATCTCCAATCTAAATCTGCTCCCCTCCAGCTTAAAGCCATTGCCCCTCATCCTGTCACTACAGGCCTTTGTAAACAGGCTCTCCCCAGCCTTCCTGTAGGCCCCCTCAGGTACTGGAAGGCTGCTATTAGGTGTCCCCGGAGCCTTCTCTTCTCCAGGCTGAACAACCCCAGCTCCCTCAGCCTGTCCTCGTAGCAGAGGTGCTCCACCCCCCTGATCACTTTAGTGGCCCTCCTCTGGACCTGCTCCATCAGGTCCGTATCTTTCCTATATTGATATGGACCTGATGGAGCAGGTCCAGAGGACAGGTCTGCTCCCTGCGCCCGGCTACCAGCGTGAGTGAGCATAAAGCCTCTCCCGGTGGGTTCCCTGCCTGCCGCAGCCACCCTGGCGCTGGGAGGTGACCAGATGGCATCACCGTGTGATGGTGGGGGTGGGGGGGGGACACGGGACTTTCCAATCAGAAAAGCACCCAGGAGACAAGTGACTTGCAAATCTGAAAGAGCAGTCAGCGCCAGTTCTCGACTGCACGACAAGGGCTGCAAAAAGCCGTCCTGCCCCCGAGCCGCTGGGACGAGCAGGGGGTGGGGGGGTCTCCTCCTGCTCCAACATTTTGGAGGCAGCGCTGCAATACGGCCAGAGGAAGGAAGAAGCCAAGGGCAAGGGCAGGGAGGGAGGTCAGCAGAAGGTGGGGGAGGTCCTGCCAGCTGTGGCGATGCAGACCCAGGGGACCGCAGACAGGGAAAAGGGGCTGCTCTGCAGAGGTTTGAAGCCTCCTCATCCCAAAACCTCCTCCGGATGGGCCTGGGGACAGGCAGCTGGCACCATGTATGGAGACCTTGCCAGCCTGGCAGCTCCCCCCAGCCCCTGGCTCACCCCCCCCCAAGCCGTGGGCAATGACGGTGCATCTCTGCTCCGAGGATGCCAGCGCCCGGCTTGGGGCTGTCCCCGTGGGTAGGGAGGGCTGGGGTGGCCCCGCTGACAGCCTGTGGGGTGGCAGGTAGGGGACAAGTTTGCCCAAGGGAGGCTCCCAGGGCCACAGTGATAGTGTGACGGGGGGGGGGAGGGCAGACAGCAGAAGAAAAGGGAGAAAAATAAGGGG